AACATGCAAATCTCTGAAGAAATAGCACCAAAAACCTTTGCATATTCTCCAGAAGAAATAGGAATATTAAATTKAGAAAGAAATCCTTCATAACTCAATAATTTGCCACCACTGTCAAATAGTTGGTCTACCWAAATAATGTTATGATTAAACCAGGAATCAAAGAATAAGGTTTTCTTCTTAAATAAAATGTCCTTGTTGTTCCAAATAAAATATCGGTGAGGAGAGAAGTTGTGCTTGTAAATGAGTAACCATGACAAATAGGCCTGATGGTGAAAATTGGAGAGTTTGACTGGAAGTTTTGCTATATCAAAGTAACAAACTAAAAAGAAATTCAGACCACCAAATTTAGAAAAAATATGGAATGGTATAATGTTCCAAAAAGAAGTTGGAGACTTAAAAAACTGACGTATCCAATTTAACTTAAAAGTATTGTTCAAAGAGGAGAATGATAGACAATTAAGACCTCCGTTTTCATACGAGTTCATTAGAGTAGCTTTTTTAATATAATGAGTCTTATTTTTCCAAACAAAATTAAATAGGAGATTGTCCATTTCTTTTTCACATGTTCACATTTATCCATAGATACTTGAAGACCCTCCAGTGACAGCAGCTCTGATCATTTTAAAGCTCACCACATTTCTGGTCCAGTAGATGGCGCTCGTTTGTCCGTGAGCTACAAAWACAAGAAGAACAGTTTCTGATAGGAAGTGACGTATGTAGGGCGGGAACTCTGTCCTGAGTTGTAAACAGTTAAGTCTGAGCATTTCGGTATGAATTAATTAGTAATAATAATAATAATTATTGATAATCGGGACCGTCTGAATGGGACATTTATACTTTTTATAACTAATGTAAGGTCTGACGGTTCTGGACTGTTCGGTTCGGAAGGGACGGTGGAAGGTAAAGACAATTTTCCAAAACTTTTGTTCCTGAAGTTCCTCCGTCTTTATATGAGATGTTCCTGAGCTCCTGCAGGTGACACCAGTGTAAATATTATGTGGTTATGAGTCAGTAAAGCTAAAGAAACACAGACACTAAACGCTGCTGGTTCTCCGGTCAGCGTCTCCGCCATGTTGGAAGGTGGACGATCAGAACTGTTGTTATTTTTAACTTTATTTAGAACTTTGTATCTCTAACAAACATTTCAACAAGAATACAAGATATATGAACAGAGTTAGATTTACAAATACTTTTTGTTGACTTTTTGTTATTTAGATCTGAGGTTGCATCAAAACACAGTTTTACATCCACTACAAAGAGGTCAAAAAGATGTATTTTGTTTCTTTCTGATTCGTTCCCTAAAGCAGTGGTTCCCAAACTTTTTATCTTCTGACCCACAAAATATCCATGGCAAAAATTTGTGACCCCAAATATTACTGGTCTGAGTACATGAACTTTGTTACTAACCCTAAAAACAAAGGCTACACAAATATAAATACTTATTTTGTGTTTTTGTAATAATTATAG